ATGGCATAACATTGGGGAAGCAATGTGAATAATAGAATATGCATATTTACTACATTATAGCAGATAATAAATATTGTTTTATCATCGTGTTAAAATATTATTGCATCAATGAAAAAAAGTCATATTCATATAAGATATTATTATGTTTATTATTATTTTTTTAGACATTTAGGTCAATTAAAGCAAATTCACACATATATCACATACGCAAGACTCAAATGTAAGACCTCTTGGTTGGTAGCCAAAACCCTAATCAACATACTAATTAAAATGAGTTGTGTATTTATAATCATCGATATGATGAACTATATATAATTAAATATATATATTTCAAATATTTAAATTATTTAAATTCACATTAATTAAAAATTCTACCTAGAACTTAAACTAAAATTAATTCCACACAAAAAAAATGAAAATATCTAGAATTGTAAAAAATTTAATTTCTTGGAAATTTCTTCTAATTTCTTAAAATAATATCTGAATTTTAATTATAAAAACATAATAAAATTTAATAAAAGAAACTATAAACTTGAAACATGCCTTAATTAATAATGATTTATAAAGCAAATTCAATACTACATATACAAAGTTCATTTTGATTTAGGTATAATATAACAAAAGTATTGAATTTGCTTGATAGATCATTAATAAGACATTTTAAGTTTGAAGATTCTTCATACGCACACCATAAAAATTATATTCATCTTATCTCATCAAAACTTTCTTCTTATATATTGAGTTTAGATCAGAATCTTTTGGATGATAAACAAATTAAATTTAAATAAATTATCTTAAATTTTAATAAATTGAGGTCAATTCATATTCAACTCTATAGTCAAGAGTTTGTTTAGGACAGCTGTACCGTTTTATAAAGTCAATTGTAAAGTTACTGTGGGATAGTCTTATCAATATTTTGATACGACATACACTAAACTTTAACTCATCCCAGGAGCATTGCTACTTAAGATATCATTTGTGACCGGTTTTTTAATGCTTTCTAAAAACAGTTTTCTAGTAAAAAAATTATAATTCAAAAAAAAATTATGCTAAAAATTTACTTTACTATAAAGTAATAAAAAACGGTCTCAAACAAAACCTAAAACTAGCTTTACCATCTTCCTTAAACAAAGTAGCTCCAACTCACATCATCAAAACAACTTTAAAGTATTATTATTATGAGTTGAAATAATTGTTTTCTATATCATGATTAGATCTCCTAAGATATTTATAAATTGAACAAACTTTATGAAGATTTCTATATCTTGATTAGACAAGTATTTTATTTTATTTTATTTTTTAATGAACTTTTCGTATCCACTATGTTGTTTTCTTAGGCTCTAAGTTATTTTCCTAATAAAAAATGGAACATAGAGCGACATGAATCATTGATCTGTTCTTCTATATTGCTAGTCGAGTGGTTTTTTTCTTTAACTTGCGCTTGAAACTAACGTCATTTAAAGTCTTCTGTATATTTGTCTGCTTGCATCTTCTAGTCGAACACCTCTTTCATTGTGTCTCGACTTCTTCTTCCAACTACCAACAATGCAGTTAGTCAGAATAATTGCAGCATGAATATATGGTTTTTTTTTCTTCTATATTTTGGTATGTTTGAGATTTTTTTTTTGTCGCTTTATTTTTCATCAAACAACAACCGTAATTTCATTTGACTATTGCTTTGATGCTTCTTTTTCACTGCTTTTCATAAATTTTTATGATGAAAAGTTGCTTTCTATAATGATAATCATCAGAATTAGCTTAATAAAATGCTTCAGCCATCTCAAAGAAGCTATTGGAGTGTGTTGGTATATAATTGGCTTATCGGAGAGAATCCAAATCCTTCAACTGATTGTAAATTGTTGCTATTGCCATGCACATGTATGGGGAGATTTAGGCTTCATATGGGACAACTTTCGTACTACTTTTTAAAACGGCTTTCTAATAAAAATTTTCAAATTCAAGAAATTTTTTTAGTAGAAAGCTATTTTAGAAATCAAAAAGAAAATCATCTCAAAAAAAGCCTTAGAATCTGTTTAGGATGATTGTAATTTTTTATAAAAATAATTGTAAAACTATTTTAAAGAAAAAAACTTTTTTAAAAATATCTATAGAAAACAATTTCATAGCACTCAAATATTTTGAAAATATAAAAAATATAGTAAAAAAATTATCCCAAATAAAGCCTTATTTTAGCCTACGAGGATAGATATATTTTCGATCCAACATTTTGATATTGGAGGGATGCGTATAATACAAGAATTTCTCATGCAAATTCTAATAAAATATATTATTTGCGTCACATTCTTTTTCATCACATAGCTGACAAAAACTCTTGGTAGTGAAGACTTGAGCACCTCAAAGTATCACTATTGTGTCATTGAAGTAATCTCTAGTCATTACCCCTAACACCCATAAGAAGACAACGCAATGGGGTACAAATAATTGAAGAAATTTGTATGGACCATTGGGTCCTCAATTTGTAAGCTACATGATTGAGGCTTGGTTGGTATGAAGGCTTGTTTCGTGGCTCATAATTTAAAAAAATATTTAATTTTATTTGCACACTTTTAAGTGTGAAAATAAAATCATGATTATTATAAAGTTTTGATTTAGCTAATTTCAATTGAATGATGAATTTAAAAATATCATCATTTTTGTAGGCATGATTCTTGTTGCGGACTAGAATATACGCGGCGATAGAGTTAAAAAAACTTCCGTCTCAACATTGTACGGATATCATGCACACAAACAGAGGAGAAATAGCACCATCAGGATTTTTACATGGAAAACCCTGAAATGGGAAATTCCACGGGGCCACACCCAGTTGAAAGAGCTTCACTACTGTTTGCTTGAAATAAAAGAGGCTGACGCGTCCTTAAAATTTAGAATGATCAGATTACAATGAATCTCTTCAGGATTGAAAATTAATTACAATGTCGAGCAAAGTTCCGGCGTCACTTGGATATTAGGTGGAATTTTGGTATCCTTCGGAGGTCGGGTAGAATTCCGGCGTCATTTAGAAGTTCAACGAAATTCCGGCGTCGAGGAGAACTCTAGCGTCACTTGAGCATCGAACAGAACTCCGGCGTCGTTCAGAAGTCAGGCAAAATTACGACGTCGAGCAAAACTCTTGCGTCGCTTGGAAGTCTGGTAGAATTCCGGCGTCGGGCAGAACTCTGGCGGTGGTCGAGGAGTCTTCTTCTTCTATTCTTCTTGCTTGGGCCCCCCTCATGAGAAATGGGAGGTCTATTTATAGATATTCTGGAGTTGCACGGCTTGTAAATAGGTGAGAGATCAAAGATAAATAGGGAATGGTCGGATGGACGGTCGATATTAAATCCCTTGATCATGCACCGTTCATCAGACATTTGAAGATCTTAATGATGTCGGAATTTTTTAATCTTGGTCTCGTTGGATTCGTCTCGTCGAGCCGCTCGATTCGACTATAAGAACGTCAAATTTGGAAACTGTTTGGCAACTCAAATTATGGTTTGAACATTCAAATAGCGCTTCAGGTGCTTGATTAGGACTCATTTGAGCTCGGATTGAGTCGAATTTGGTGTCGTTGAGTTTGTATTTCCGAAACGCTCAGTTTCACTATAAGTTCCCTGAAATCGGAGTTCAGGTGATCCCGGATTTAATTTTTGAAGCTTCTGACTCGATTTTGCCTCGAGATTCGTGCCTGATCAAGATAAATTTTTGAGGATACATCAATTCTAAACTACAAGCAATCAAATGAGTGACAATGCTTTTCGGAAAATTGAAGATTAAGGGTTTATTAAAATGTCTGTATCATTTTATAAAGTTGATTGTAAAATTATTGTAGAGAACACAAATATCACTATTATGATTGCATAAAGTAATTTGCATCACAAAATTAAAAAAAAAGTAATGAAAAAACAACAATAAAGTAATACCCAAACAAAAATTGTGATTGATATTTGAAAATCAAAGCAACCAAAAAAATGTCCCAAAGACTAAGAAAGAAGGTAGCATTCGAGATCTTGTGGCTATGATTGCATCTATAGTAAAATATGTTGTGCTTATTATTTGTGATATTTCACGTGCAACTAACTCCTCAGATATATCTGAAGTAAATTTGAACACATAATAAGTATGGGTGTCACTATTTGACACGATCCAAAAATTCGACCTAAACTCGACCAGAAATTTTCATGTTCGAGTTGACCCAAACCGGGTCGAGTTTGATTTAGAAATTTCGACCCATTTCTAAAACTGGATCAAGTTTGCGTTGACCCGGTTTGAAATCAACCCGATTTGACCCATTTTTAATTGATTTAAGAAAGTTTTAAAAGATTGTTATGAAATAAGAAAATATTATTTTCAAAAAAATAATAAAACATATTACCCTAAACTAAATTAAGCTTGATTTATTTTAAATTTATTGAATTAAATCTTATCTCAATTTAGGTTTAAATAAATCAAATTAAATAAAAATATTTTAGTAAAATATTAAAAAAAGGGGTCATATTCAATTTGACCCGGACCCAAAGCGGGTTAGATTCGGGTCCGAAAAACTGACACATTTGCAAAATCAATTTGGGTCAAATTAAAAAGTGTCGGATCATATTCGGATTCAACCAGAACCCGACGCGAAATCCAGGTTTGACCGCCCTAAGAATAAGTATAGTCCATAATATTACTGACCTATATTGATTTGTTTTATTTCATTTACCGGCTAAATTTGGTCTCATTTTTCAAGTCAAGACGTAAAAATCCATTCGGATATTTGATAGACAGCTCTTCAGCTGAGAAGATTGCATTGTCTGGCTGTCTTTAACATCAATTATAATGCTAAAATGCTTGGAGTTCTCCTTATAAAGGAAGTTGAAAAACTGCTGCTAATATCCGTTTATCTCAGATTTCCATTTGGTTTGGGACAATTTTATATTACTATTTTTTCTCTGATTTTACAAGATTTTTATGCTAAAAAATAATTTTATAAATCAATAAAAAAGACATCCCAAACGAAACCTTAATATCACAAAAAGCTCTTTATTTGACTAAAGAAAAAACTGTTGAATGCAACAAGTATAATCGATGAAACAAAAGGTACAACCTGAAGATTTTTTTTTTAATTTTTTTCCTCATCAATGATCTGCTATGTGAGTTTGTTTCTTAAGTGTATTGTTTATTGCCTCAAGCAGTAGAATAAATCTAATGAAATAAATGCAGACCTGACCGTCATCTTTCTTTAAAGAGCTCCCGGCCAATGACGATTCTTCTGATCTCACTTGTCCCAGCGCCGATCTCATATAGTTTGGCGTCTCTAAGGAGACGACCAGTTGGGTATTCGTTGACATAGCCGTTGCCGCCAAGACACTGAATTGCCTGAGGATCATCATGTTGCAGACTGTGAGAATAATATTATATTTTGCCACATAGAACAGAACAAGGAGAACTAAGAGAATAATGGTTATACGAGTTTTTATTATTGTTATTATTACCTGAAGGGCAACTTGGGTAGCTTTTTCTGCAGCAAGAAGTATGACCCCAGCACAGTCCTAAAAATGGAGAAGTAGAGAAAAATAATGATACAATATAAAGTGAAAAAAAAAAATATTTAAAAAAAAAAGAGAATATATATCAAATGAGACTTCGAATATATTTTTTTTGTTGGGACATTTAGGCCATTTAAGTCAAACTCACACACACAATGCATACATAAAGACACGAATCCAAGACCTCTTAGTTGGAAGCCGAAGCTCTCAACCAACAGACCAAAATGAGATGTGAAAAAATTTTTAGCTAAAATATTAAAGAAAAGGTCAGTGAGAACTGAAAGAGACCTAAATATCAACAAGTTCCATTCCTTATCAGATAGATATCGAGAAATGGAAAGCTTTCTTGATTGATTATCGCCTAATTGTCATCAAAATAAGAACTCGTATAGCTGTTAAATAATACCTTGGGGTCAACTTTGCCATTGTCACACTCCCTAGCAACTGAATACACGAAAGCTCTATAAAGAACAAGTATGATCACATTATTAATGGCTAGGAGATGATAAATTGTGGAATTTAATAAAAAAATGAGCTAACCTTGATGACTGTAATGCCGTATACATGTCAGCAACTTTTCCCTGCATTTTTTTTAATATTTTGCAATCGTATAAATTAATATAACTTTTCTTTCTTGAGAACAGTAGAGATGGGAATTGAATAGCTGGGATCTTTCAGAACTAAAGCTAGCATCCAGCCTAAATAAAACATACTTGTATGAACTGAAATTCACCAATTGGACGCCCAAACTGCTCTCTTTCACGAACATAAGGAAGAACAACATCTAGGCATGCCTGCATGAGACCAAGAGGCCCAGCCGCCAAAACAAGCCTCTCTAAATCAAGCCCCGACATCATAACGTACACTCCTGAAAAAGTAAAATTATACCAAGTTTTGTTTGGAAGTATTAGAACGGGATTCACTTTTTGAGTATTCATTTGAAGTTATAATAACTATATAGCTAGGGAAACATCTTTCACTATTCAAGATAGTTATCTAATAGGCAATAGGCCACAAGCGTACTTTGACCCATTCAAATGCAGGTCATGAATGTTTGGAATCCCTATTATACAATGAGATATTACTTTTGCTAATCAAATGGAAGGAAAAGATCTATTTTTGATGTCATGTATATTGTATTACATTCATCATAGTTTGCACGCTAAATTGACAACAGTATCATACAGAATATAACATTTAAGCTTGACATCGAAGGACTTGCTCAACATAAATTGATAGTGAGAAGCAAATAATAGAATATTTTCACTAGCATATTTTTGATGTAAAATATGGAGGCATAGATACCACCTGATTTTGAACTGGGTGAGAATATGTAATTGTAAAGAGAATGACTTATGGAACTGGTAGGAAATTGTAAGCTTTATGTGAACTTTGGGTTTATTGAAAGATAAAAGCTTCATGCAACATTCAGAAAAACCAAACTAGGGTTATGGTTTCTAATAATGAGTTCGGTTTTCATGAATTTTCCCAATGTGGAAGCTTACATATATACATAAAAATAAGGGTTTCAAGAATCATGCAAGAAATAAGTTTTTTTATGAGGTCCATTCACCCAAATATGGAGATGCAAGAACGGAGGATAAAGAGTTGTTTACTATATGATGTTTCCCAAACCCTAATTAGGGTTTCCACCATGTGCTTATTCCTTGCTTCTCATGGCCAAGGGAGTGAGATAGAGAAAAAGAGAATCCTTAAGCGAAATTGAGAACAAAATAAGAGGTTTTGTCAAAATATTACTCAATCTTCAAGGATAAAGGCTGAATCTGATAATATGCTGTGCAAGAGAAGGTTTTGTCAAAATATGAAAGGAGCGAGAAAGTGACACGAGAATTATTACTAACTCTTGAAGGATTAAGATTACAATCTAATTGGCATTCCATTTATAGAAATTAGATTCATGACAAAGTCTAACTCAAATGTAAAACAAATCATAATATAATCCCAATTTCAATTCAACTAATTAGGAACAATTAACCCAAGTATCTTAACAATCATTTAAATACAAACAAAAATAATCAAAATAAATCCAAAGCACTCCAAAAAAATCCTAAATCTTCAAAATTTTCCCTCGATTAAAAGACATGAAATCTGATAGGTACCACTTGAATATTCCAAGCGATTCCTATCGGATCTTCGCTAATTCACCAATATTTCACTATTTTCAAAAGAAAACAGCCACCAATAATGGAAAAGCTGAGAGAAA